ACCAAAACCTGGCTGTTCTGACAGGCCTGGGGTTGCTGATTTTTAAATCAGGTCCACCCCCCAGCTAAGCCAAATGTATGTTGTTTTTATAAACTGTTTTTGTTCTTTCCCCTATGTGTTATTTTATTTTATTTCGTATTTGTAAGCTGCCCGGAGTCCTCCGGGATTGGGCGGCATATAAGCTCATTAAATTGCGAATTGCGATTGCACTTCGAGGCCACCATACCACTAACCTAAGAGAACACATGAGCAAATTAATATAGGTGATGCTTGCTTGGAACCTCTTCCTACCTGTGGCAGCATGACATTCCATCATTGTCGCACTCACATCTGAAACAATTAGCTGTGTTCCAAGTGGACCCAATGAGATGCCTTGTCTGATCGAAGACATCAACACATACGGTGGAACTCACCGGTTTCCCTGAGAAGAGAGAATTGGAGAGTTGGAAGTTGAACCTGCAGTAGAATCCAAACCGCCAAGCTGTTGCGAGAAACCTGCTACTAGAGTTGGATACTACAACCAGAAATCTACTATTGGATAAATGTGACCAAGTCTGTAGAGATTCTCTGTTATCCAGTTGGGGCAACCATGATCTGGATGACAGAGAATCTCTATAGACTTTTAGCTATACAATTTGGGATGAACACCCTTGGAATGGTGCGGGAATAGGAATGGATTTCCAGAGGGAAAATTGTAGACTACAGGAACCATTTGCACCACTCAGATGACCCTGAGGACACCGATAAGCCTCCAAATGGCCTCAACGACCCTCTAAAAGGATGCAAATGATCAGCTGTCTGCAAGGAATATCGATCCTTCCATTCCCCACCATCATGTCAGAGCTGAAGAAGCTTCATGTATGAGAAAAGAAATATTTTCAAGAGAAAAAAAAACAAATCCAGTTACCTACAGAAAAAACACTTTTGGAATAAATGTGAGAAGTATATAAATTCTCTGCCTTGACTGACTACCATTATATTTAAATGATTGATTAGATTTGTAAGGATCCCTGATGATCAAACATCTTCTGCATTAACTTGGTCCGTGTTTCCTGGCCCACCTTAATGAAAATCTCAATTGTAAAAATTAAGCCCACAACGTTTCTCCTGGCATTACTAATCTTTCGCAAGCAATACAACAATAGTTTCTTCAAACGTATAGAGAGTCTGGTTACCATCTTTAAACTCCAATTTAAAGGTATCCAGAAAGCATGCTCCTTGACATGTAGCCAGCACGAGAGAGAAGAGGATCAGGCTGAAGAAGACTTTCTGAGAAAGGAAAATAAGAAAAGGTAAGCCATCAGAGAAGTTGGTGGTTGTTGAGGCAACTGACTGTTCAAAGTTTACTAATATCCTTTTGATAATGTGATGCTGTCCATAACCATAAGGAAAAGTCCTCTGGGTTAAGTTTACAATCTTATGCAAGTGTGCAGTTCGGTCTGTATTGCACAAGTCAACCTGGATCATCTCCCTCCCCTCTTTGTGTCAGCTGCACACAATCCAGGATACCCGAATATCTCAACACTTTAACAGGGGTTCAAAGAATAACAGAGTTGGAAGGGACCTTGTAGGTCATCTGGTCCAACCCACCACCCAAGCAGGAGACCCTACACCAGTAATGGCGAACCTTTTTTTACAGCGTGCATGCTATGGCACGCACCCAGTGCCCACTCAAAGCCCCACCCAACTGTGCATGCGCGTGTGACCCCCGCGCATGCACATGCAACCACTCCCCAGGCTCTGGAGGCTTTCCTGAAGCCTGGGGAAGGCGAAAATGGCCTCCCCCACCCCCCTAGAAACCATCTGGAAGTCAGAAATGAATCAGTTCCGAACTTCCAGTTGGGGCCGTTTTTTGCCCTCTCCAGCCTTCGGAGGGTTTCCTGAAGCCATTTCCAAGTTCCGGAGGGCTGGGGGAGGCCGTTTTTGCCTTAGGAGACTGTGGTTATGAGCCTCAGGGCACCTGGGAGGTCCATGTGCGCAGGGCACTAGACTGGTTCCGGTTGCAAAATGTCAGAAAATCCCCCATTTTGCAAGGCGGCTCTCAAAGAGAAGGAGCTGACCGCCAGTGCTACTCAGGGAACTCGGCCTGTGGAGTCTGGAGTTCCAGGGGGAAGGAAACTCTGCTGCGGCCCGCTCCCCATGTGAGGGGCTCCCCCCCCATCCACCCGCGGCTTCTGCCTCTTGCTCTGCTTCCTCGCCAGCAGTAAGCGGCGCCGCAGCCGAGGAGCAGGCAGGTGGCTGGGTGGGAAGCCAGTGGGCTGCTTTAGAGTCTGAAGCCCCACGGAGCCAGGATGAGAGGCATGCGGGCCCGAGTGTAAGGCAGCATCTTCCTGCAGTGGGGGTGGGGGCTCTGCCTTTGCAGAAAAGGAGCAGGTGCAAGTGCAGCAGCCCCGGGCCGCAGCATCGTCACTGCCGCCTCGCTGCGTCTGCATTTTCACCAAGGGCCGCCCACTGGCCGGGCTGGACGCTGATCTAGAAGGCTAGCGGGCATGGGGATCCGCTGGTGAGAGCACATGGAAGGCAGGGAAGCATGGCAGGACTTGGGGGAAGGGGTAGCCAGCTAAGCCACAACTCGCAGTCTTATCTAGCAGGGGCGCAGTGCTTCAGGCAGGCAAGCTGCAGAGTCGAGACTGGGCGGGGCGGGACAAGTGAGCGGTGACCTGGTAACTGGTTCGGGGCGAAAAGGCATCCCCTGGCCCTCCGGAAATATGAAAAACCAGCTAGCCGTCGGAGCTGACAGCTGGCGTGCCACTCAATATGGCTCCGTGTGCCATCACTGCCCTACACCATTTCTGACAGTCCTGTCTCTTCTTGAAAGCCTCCAGGGATGAAGCTCCCACAACCTCTGAAGGCAATTTCTGTTTCATGGGTTGATTGCTCTCATTGTCAGAAAATTTTCCCTTATTTCTAGATTGAATCTCTCCTTGGTCAGTTTCCATCCAATAATCCTGGTCTGGCCTTCGGGTGCTTTGGAAGATAGATTGACCTCCTCCTCTCTGTGGCAGCCCCTCAAATATTGGAAGGTGTTCTCATGTCTCCCCTGGTCCTTCTCTTCACTAGACTAGCCATGCCCAGTTCCTGCAACATTCTTCATATGTCTTAGCCTCCAGTCTCCTAATCCTCTTGGTCGCTCTTCTCTGCACTTTTTCTAGAGTCTCAACATCTTTTTTTATAATGTGGTGACCAAAACCGGATGCAATATTCTAGGTGGGGTCTTACTAGGGCTTTAGAAAGTGGTATTAGTACCTCCCTTGATCTTGATTGTATTTCTCTGTTAATGCAATTTAGGATTGCATTGGGATTTTTGGCTGCCTTTCAGTGGTGAAATCTAAAATCTGACTGTCAAATTACTGATAGTTGGAGCCTTTTTTAAAAAAAAAAACTTTTTAAAGCATTTTTTTTACTACCAGTTGGTCGAATAGGTAGTAAAAAATGCTTTTCAAAAAGTAAAAAAGAGAGGTTCATCAGCTGTGACATTCAGCTGTGTGTGGGATCGTGGGAACCTTTTTTTTTACTTTTTAAAAACATTTTTTACTTGTTCAGAGAAACGGAAACATTTGTTACTACCGGTTCTAGCAAACCAGGCAGAATGGGTAGCATTTCACCCCTGCTGTCTTTCTTCATCTAACCCTCTAGTAGTCCTCATTGTGGAATGTCTTTCCATCCTTCTCCCCTCCAGAGGCAAAATTGTGGAATTGACCCCACACAGTGAAGGGAAATATGCCTTACCCAGAGACTTCAGTGTCTGCTCCTTTTTCAGGCCTTTTCCCACCTGTGATGCTTGGCGGGGGGGACAATCTCCACTTTGAACCCCTGAGTTGTGATGTCCCTCATACCAAAAGTGCATTTCGGTATTTGTGTATCTATTCTTAATCCTTCCAAATAGGTAGAAAATACACTCTGGTTTTAAGCCTTCTACCAAAATTAGACCATCAACTTCTGGATTTTAGACTCATCCCACTCACCCCAAAATGCAACTAATTGGTTTTGCAAACAATTCTTTTTCTCCTATTTCTCTTTTGGAATTCTAAAGAAACATCTGGTGGTATTTGATTTATTTCTGTAACTTCTTTCTTTATCCAAATAATGTACAGAATGACCATCTGATTATTTTCCCCACAGTTACAATCTTGTAGAGTGACTGTCCCCAAGGGGTCCCTTCATTCCTCTGGCCCTTCTTTTCTCATGCCCAAGGCAAATTGGGCTCCGGTTGCAAGCAAAGGACAAACCAGGGGTGAAATTCAGCAGGTTCTGACAGGTTCTGGAGAACCGGTAAAGGAAATTTTGAGTAATTTGGGGAACCACCAAATACCACCTCTGGCTGGCCCCAGAGTGGGGAGGGAATGGAGATTTTGCAGTTTCCTTCCCCTGCCAGGCCCACCAAGCCACGCTCACAGAACCAGTAGTAAAAAAATTGAATTTTCCCACTGGGTCAAACCATTGTACTTACCATCTTGGCTTTGGGGAAGACCCAGGAAACTCTTGGTAGGGAGGAAGGACAAGGAGAAACACTGCTCACTCTGAGGTTGGAATGGAATCTGCTCATCCAATTTATACAGAAACCAAGACCGCCCCTTGTACAATTTTTTTAAAAAAGCGCTGAGTAAAAGTTTTTTCAGAATAGCCACTGCCAGAAGAAAAACATTTGCTTTTGACTACCGGTAATTTGTGTTTGTTTTGGAGATGTGATAATGGAAAACCATTTAATCAGCTTCAGCGACATAATGAAAGGCTGCATACTCTAAAATTTGCAAGATTAAAATAGTAATAGCAATAGCAGTTAGACTTATATACCGCTTCATATATATTCCGTGAGCTGCACTGGCTTCCAATCGGTCTCCGGATACGCTTCAAAGTGCTAGTTATTA